ATTCTCCCAGAGCAGGAGGTGAGAGAAAATATTCCAATGGGGGCACTTTTGCTTTTTAGGGGCAACTGCATTTCCCTCACTTTGTAGAAATTGCCTATAAATATTTTTTGTGTATAGGACAGGAAGCAAAAGGTAATCTCTCCAATGGTAAAATAAATCTGCTAGATTTTAACTATTGCCTATTCTTTCCCTTTAAACATGTTCTTTCCAGAAAGCTTAGACAATTTTGAGCATGGTAATTTGTCTGAAATTCACCTAGGTAAAAAAAAAATGAAGTAAGCACTTTCATACCTTTTTAGAAGTCTACAAGAGCACTGTGGTACAGAACACTCTAAACTGCAAGGGTTGTTGTGCTCAGGAGTGTTTTGACAATCTTTTGCATGCAGCAGGTTCCTTGCATATTCAGTCTTCTTCAGCACTGCAGTGAAATTGCAAGACCTTTACATTCCCAAAACCACCACGGTATGCTCGGAAGACGTTGAAAACATTCTTAAAAGCCTAGTACATGAATGTACAGTTAGGTCTGGAAATAATTGGACATTGACAACAGTTTCCTAATTCTGACTCTGTATGCCACCACAATTGACTTTAAACGAAACAACCAGATGCAATTGAAGTGAAGACTTTCAACTTTAATTTAATGGGTTGAACTAAAATATATCATATGAAACGTTTAGGAATTGCAACCATTTTCATACAGTCCCCTCATTTCAGGGGCTCAAATATAATTTGACAAATGAACTCAATCAAAAATAAAATGTTCATTTTTAATAATTTGTCAAGAATCCTTTGCAGGCAATAGCAGCTTGAAGTCTGGAATGCATGGACATCACCAACTGATCGTGTTATGATCAGATGATTGACTCAGCCATTGCAGAATTTTCCACTTGTTTGCCTTCAAAAATCCCTGGGTTGCTTTTGTAGTATGTTTTAGGTCATTGTCCATCTGTAAGGTGAAGCGCCGTCCAGTAAACTTCACTGAATTTGGCTGAATCTGAGCAGACAAGCTATCCCTATACACTTCAGAATTCATCCAACTGCTTCTGTCACATCAATGAACACTAGTGACCCAGTGTCATTGGAAGCCATGCATGCCCATCTTATCACACTGCATCCACTGTGTTTTACAGGTGATGTGGAATGCTTTGGATCATGAGCCGTTCCAAGACTTCTTAATACTTTTTTCTTCCCATCATTCTTGTACAGGTTGATCTTAGTTTCATCTGTCCAAAGAATGCTGTCCCAGAACTGGGCTGGCTTTTTTTAGATATTTTTGGGGAAAGTCTAATCTGGCCTTTCTATTCTTGAGGCTTATGAATGGTGAACCCTCTGTATTTGCTCTTGTGAAGTCTTCTCTTTGTGGTAGACTTGGATAATGATATGTCTACCTCCAGGAGAGTGTTGTTCACTTGGCTGGATGTAGTGAAGGGGTTTTTCTTTACCATGGAAAGGATCCTCCGATCATCCACCACTGTTGTTTTCCATGGACTTCCAGGCCTTTTTGTGATGAAGAGCTCACCAGTGCATTCTTTTTTTTCCCCAGAATGTACCAAACTTAATTTGGCCACTTCTAATGTTCCTGCTATCTCTCTGATGCATTTTTTTGCAGCCTAAGGATGGCCTGTTTCTCTTGCATTAAAAGCTCCTCTGAACGCAAGTTGTGGATTCACAGCAACTGCTTCCAAATGTGAATGCCACACCTGGAATCAACTCCAGACCTTTTACCTGGTTAATTGATGAAGAAATAATGAAGGAATAGCCCACACCTGTCCATGAAACAGCTTTTGAGTCAATTGTCCAATTACTTTTGGTCCCTTGAAAAAAGGGGGCTACATAAAAAAACTAATTCCTAAACCCTTCCTCCAACATAGATGTGTATACCCTCAAGTTGAAGCTGAGAGACTGCACTTTCAGCCCAGAATCTTGATTTAACTGTAACTTGAATGTATTTCAATAAACAGCCAAAATAACAAAACTTGTGTCAGTGTCCAATTATTTGCGAACCTAACTGTATGCCTGGCAATTTCTAGGCCTGTAAATGTGAACGGGTCATATGGCTGATTACAGCTATTTCATTATGACAATGATATACGTTTTAAGTGGTACTGGCAGATTTTTCTCCACTGCGTGCTTATTTATATTCTGCTAGAACTGACAAAATGTTATGATCCAGTTAAATGTTAAACAGCTGCAAGATCAAAGACTATAAAAAAATGTAAGAGATACTTTTTCGGAGCATCATGCATAATAGACTGTAAAATGAAAATATTAGTCCTATGTAGCAGCAACATATTCTACAACACTGAATAATGTGAAACCTCGCGCCACTACTCCAATCAAGTTAAGCAGCAGCTGAAATCTGTGTGGTCAGATATATAGTATAAAATTAATAGTAAAAGCCGCGCTGTGTGAATGAAATTGCAAAAGTGTCAGATATAGCAGATACCAACCTTGAAATAATGTGATACAATGTGTAAAAAGTGCAAAACAAAGAAGAAATGCATGTGTATAACATGCACCTCAGTGTAAATGCATTGCTCCAAAATATCTATAATGAAAACTAGAAAAAACGAATGTGTATAACATGCACTACAGTGAAAATAATAAATGGTTAAAAAATGTCCATGATCCTGGATCTTCAATAGTCCATTAGGAAAATAGAGGATAAAACATTGGATGTAAAATAATCTCAGTCTCCTGTGGCCATCAACAGAGAAATCTTCTGGAATGCACCTCACCTTTAGCAGAGACCCACCAGGATCTGTATGCGCTGTTCCTCTAATTCAAACCAGGTAGATGAAGCACCTGATGCCGAACACCTCCCAGTGATTTCCTCCTCTCAGGTACAGACTCTCTTGCAGTCTCAGGAGTTGAGAGCAGACAATTCATCCGAATGGCCCATGCATCAAATAAAAAGTGGAGAGTCGTAGTGCAGATGGTTTTAAAAGGATACTAAACTTTATTAAAAAAGGATACTACTCATATTTCATATATACAAGTAAGGTTTTTAGTAAGCAGCCAAAGACACTGTGTGCAATCGCTCAGCTCCTCCACTCCACCCTACGTACGTTACGTCAAAGGGCGTGACTTCATCAGGGGTGTGTTATATGTGTTTCTTCTTTGTTTTGCACTTTTTACACATTGTATCACATTATTTCAAGGACAGTACCTACTATATCTGACACTTTTGCAGTTTCATTCACACAGCGCGGCTTTTACTATTAATTTTATATTCTACAACACTAATCAGGAGCAATAGCAGTGACATTCAATATACTTAAATGCATAAAACAATATTGATAAAACCCATACAATGAGCACTGTTAGTAAAGAAAAGCGGTTCTCAACCTGCGAGTCGCGACCCCATCGGGGGTCGAATGACGATTTGCCAGGGGTCACCTAAGGACATCCCAACTCTCCCGGACGCTCCGGGAGTCTCACGCTATTAGATAGCGGCTCCCGGCCGCCCCGGGAGATAAACACTTTCTCCCCGAAAGGTAAGGTAAACCTTTCCCTGCTCTGGTTTTTTTTGTTTTGTTTTTCTGACATCGGGGCCGCCGTCAGTCAGAAAAAAATAAAACAGCATAGGAATGCATAGCTAGATTCCTATTGGCTATTTCACTTTGCAATAGCAAACTAGCTATTGCACCAGCCCACTGCCGTCAATTAGCAGAAGGGGACCTGAAGTTCTCCATCAGGTCCCCTTCTAGTGATTGACAGCAGCAGAGGGCGGGTGCAATAGCCAGCTTGCTGTTGGATATTGCAAATTGAAATAGTCAATAGGAATCTAGCTATGCATTCCTATGCTGTTTTTTTTTTCTGACTGGCGGCGGCCGGCGTCTCCGATGTCAGAATAAAAAAACACCAGAGCAGGGAAAGGTTTACTCTGCAGAGTAAACCTTTCCGGGAGAAAGCGTTTCTCTCCTGGGCGGCCGAGAGCCGCTATCTAATAGCTATCTAACGGTAGCAAAATTACAGCGATGAAGGAGCAACGAAAATAATGTAACTGTTAGGGGTCGCTACAACTTGGGCATTGTTATCAAAGGGTCATGGCACTAGAAAGGTTGAGAACCGATGGTATAGAAGGACAGATACATCGGGTTAGTTGTTTTTAACTTTAGTGTTGTAAAATAAAGAGAAATGCCGCAATGCAATCTCAAATCCTTGGCCAAAGTAATACTGAAGTGGGGTCACTTAGAAAAAAAAATTAATTCTTTGAAATAAAAATTATTTCTCAAAACACAAAGGTGGAATTTATCGATTTTAAACGGTCGTGTACCTGATTCATAGTGCATATAGTGACAAATGTTATCCTAGTTTGTTTCATTCATAAGGAGAATTGTCTCAAAATTGTTCTGGTCTCTAAACTGTTGCATGCTTGCTGAGAACCTGCTGGAGGACAGCTGAATAGCTCTGAACTGCTTCGCTGCCATAAGGGTATAATGCTGTGTTATCTTTGCAATACTTATCTGGTGATTATAGGTACTTCCTGTTACCTGTTGACTCTAATCCTGTCTGCCAATTATGCCCCTGAAAGCGGAACTACAACCTCCTAACCCATACAGCCAAGGCAGGTGCCATCTTAGCTTTTATTTGGATTACAGTTGCCATGGTGCTACACATGTGATCAGGTATGACACCAGCCATTTTGAAAGTTCGTTTGAGAGCTGAAATAAGCACACTGGCAACCTTGACCTTTGGCATGCCTTAAAAGTAACTGTTTTGGGAGACATTAAATTGGTGGGTCAGGTTTCTCTTGAAGCTTCTTGACTTGAAGCAGGTCAATGAGATCATCTGCAGGTCCTGTCAAATAATTCTGAATGAGAAAGCATCTCAAACAGATGTAAAACACTGTTGACACAAGCCCAAAGCCCATCAACACAGGCCCTACTCTGCTCAGATACAGTGGAGCTTTTTTTAATAATGATTTTATGCATGTGTGAGCGTTCTGTTTGGGTAAGTTATTTTCTTTTATAGTAGATTTTTGTTGCTTTTTGCAGGATGGGTGCTGCGGATAATATATATAAAGGAAGAAGCACGTTCATGGAGGAGTTGTCAGAAACTTCAGAGATACTAAAGCACGCTACTCCCCGCTCTCTTGTTATTTTGGATGAATTAGGAAGAGGCACCAGTACCCATGATGGCATTGCCATTGCATATGCCACACTTGAATATTTCATCAGAGATGTGAGTGGGGTTATGTCTTGATATAATTTGGAAAGCTCTCTGAGATAGTCGACAATACATGTATTTGTCAGTTTCATTTAGTTTTGAAGTGTGACTTGATCTTAAATAATAGAGGTGCACCGAAATGGAAATTTAAAAATCGAAACGAAACCGAAATAAAAACAAATTGTCAGGCCGAGACCGAAAATGTTTCTTATTTTCATTTTTTTAAAATGTTTTCATTTTTTTTTGTTACTTTTTAAAAAAAATTTATTTATTAATTTTTTATTAAATATTATTATTTTTTACTGTACTTTTAGGGGCTTTGGGGAAATATTGGGGGTCTGAACAGACCCCTGATATTTCCCTTTTAAAATAGAAAAGGAGATTGAGGACACAGTCCTCAATCTCCTTTTCTGCAGCCCCTGTTATAAATGAACAGGAAGCCTCTATTCTGAGTGCTCCTGTTCATACTCCTGTTCAATCATAACATGTGGAGATAGTATGAGTTACTATGTTCACAATCAATAATGAACAGGAAGTGATGTAGAGCACTTGATGAAGAGCTCTGCCTCTTGTGACAGCTGACTCCTCCCCCGCACTGCTCGTCATCCTGAGCTGTCTCCTCCCTGCTGGACGCCGGTTCTGTGTCCCCTCGGATTTCCATTGCCTCTGTCGACACAGGCGGGGGAGAGCAGCGCTTAACAGATTGGGCACAGACCGGCGCCCAGCAGGGAGGAGAGAAGCCTAGAGATGCACTGTATTTTCCACCACATTTTCTGCCGTTATGGTACTTTCTGCATTATGCCCAAAGTACAATTTTCGCCAAAAATGTTTCGGCAGCCAACATTTTGGTGCATCCCTAATATACACACACACACACAGACCAGGTTTTCCTTCCTTGGGCAACTTTTGGTATGTCCGGACCACTGCAGACCGGGAACATCCCACAAGAGCTGCGGTTTTGGAGTTGCTCTGATCCAGCCGTCACAATTTGGCCCTTGTCAAAGTCGCTCAAATCCTTACATTTCCCCTTTTTTTTCTGCTTTCACCACATCATCTTCAGGGACAAAATGGTCTCTTGCAGCCCAATATATCCCACCCACTTCCAGGTGCCATTGTAAGGAGATGATTGATGATGTTCACTTGCAGCCCAATATATCCCACCCACTTCCAGGTGCCATTATAAGGAGATGATTGATAATATTCACTTCACCTCTTAGTGGTCATAATGTTATGGCTGATTGTGTGTGTGCGTGTGTATAATATATATCATTTTTATATAATTTTTTTTTTTTTTACATTTTTAGGTACCATCATTAACACTGTTTGTCACCCATTACCCTCCTCTGTGTGAGCTGGAGAAGTGCTATCCTACTTGTGTTGGAAACTATCATATGGCATTCTTCGTTGACGAAGAACATGGTACTGCAGATGGTATGATGGCAACTTGGTAAATTCTCTTAATAAACCCCAACTAGAATGTAGTAGTTTGTTAAAGCATTGTGTTTCATGAACCATTGGCATTTTGTTCTCGTAGAAAATACTGTTTTCATCTTGTTTTCACCCTTTGCTGCATCTCACCCTTTGCTGCACTGCCGATCTTCTTCAAACTATTTGCAGCCACTACCTTTCTGTGTTCTCTAACAGTAGCTGCATGTTATTGCGTAGGATGGGCTTCCAGATTGTGACAACGGCAGAACATACCTGTGCATTGAACCTTGTCACAGCTGCCTCGTAATCTCCACTGGAAGCACATGTGACAGGAGAACAATTGGGAGACAGTGCTTTGTCCCTGTCACCATGTAACAGGAAGTGCCTCTACAAGAACCTTCATTGCAGGATCACCAGGGATTATTTTTAAAGCTGCAGATAGTAAAGAACTGAAAATAACTTTGAAAATTACATTAACAAGTTACAGATTGTAACATAACTCTCTACATACTGCCCACTGCCATACCCTCTGCACTCCTCCCTTGCACATATTGCCCACTGTCATACCCTCTGCACTCCTCCCTTGCACATACTGCCTGCTGTCGTACCCTCTGCACTCCTCCCTTGCACATATTGCCTGCTGTCGTACCCTCTGCACTCCTCCCTTGCACATACTGCCTGCTGTCGTACCCTCTGCACTCCACCCCTGCACATACTATCCACTGTCATGGGACTGTAGGTGACATATGCTTAAATTAACTTTAAATATTAAATAAATAACCACACAACACTTATTTTATTTAAAATGGCATTAATTGGCTGCGGCATTTTTATTGGATTAATATTAAATCAAACTCTACTAACCAATCTAATAATCAACCAATAAAACTTGTAAACTTTCACCATATTGCCCAGTTATCAAAACTCGAGCAATATATCAACCAAGGGAATAGTCCCCCTCTCCTGAGGTGACAAACCACATAAAAATACAGCGACTAGGGAGGGGGGAGGGGGGGGAGCTTCTAAAACGGGATTCCAACTGGATGCTTCAATCCTAGCGGCACCTCCTTATATAGGGCATCAATTCAAACTGCCATATATCCTCGTGGCGATGTTTTCCCGCCAAAATAAAGTTTTTTCCCGACAAAAAATTTACCGTTGGATTCTCTTAAAGGGGCAGTGCTCTGAAATATAAAAACACTGGGAAAACCACATTCCTATGAAAATGGGCATCTCATGGATGCCATTTTAACATTCCCTCTGCTCTCCTCCCCTGTACATACTGCCCACTGTCATACCCTCTGCACTCCTCCCCTGTACATACTGCCCACTGTCATTCCCTCTGCTCTCCTCCCCTGTACATACTGCCCACTGTCATTCCCTCTGCTCTCCTCCCCTGTACATACTGCCCACTGTCATTCCCTCTGCTCTCCTCCCCTGTACATACTGCCCACTGTCATTCCCTCTGCTCTCCTCCCCTGTACATACTGCCCACTGTCATTCCCTCTGCTCTCCTCCCCTGTACATACTGCCCACTGTCATTCCCTCTGCTCTCCTCCCCTGTACATACTGCCCACTGTCATTCCCTCTGCTCTCCTCCCCTGTACATACTGCCCACTGTCATTCCCTCTGCTCTCCTCCCCTGTACATACTGCCCACTGTCATTCCCTCTGCTCTCCTCCCCTGTACATACTGCCCACTGTCATTCCCTCTGCTCTCCTCCCCTGTACATACTGCCCACTGTCATTCCCTCTGCTCTCCTCCCCTGTACATACTGCCCACTGTCATTCCCTCTGCTCTCCTCCCCTGTACATACTGCCCACTGTCATTCCCTCTGCTCTCCTCCCCTGTACATACTGCCCACTGCCATACCCTCTGCACTCCTCCTCTGAACATACTGCCCACTGCCATACCCTCTGCACTCCTCCCCTGCACATAATGCCCGCTGTCATACCCTCTGCACTCCTCCTCTGAACATACTGCCCACTGTCATTCCCTCTGCTCTCCTCCCCTGCACATACTGCCCACTGTCATACCCTCTGCACTCCTCCCCTGCACATACTGCCTGCTGTCATACCCTCTGCACTCCTCCCCTGTACATACTGCCTGCTGTCATACCTCTGCACTCCTCCCCTGCACATACTGCCCGCTGTCATACCCTCTGCAGTCCTCCCGTGCACATACTGCCCACTGTCATACCCTCTGCACTCCTCCTCTGCACATACTGCCCACTCTCATACCATGTGCACTCCTCCCCTGCATGTACTGCCCGCTGTCATACCATGTGCACGCCTCTCCTGCACGTACTGCCCGCTGTCATACCATGTGCACGCCTCTCCTGCACGTACTGCCCATTGTCATACCCTCTGCACTCCTCCCCTGCAAGTACTGCCCACTGTCATACCCTCTGCACTCCTCCCGTGCACATACTGCCCACTGTCACACCATGTGCACTCCTCTCCAGTCATATTGCCCATTTTGTTTTCAGTGAGAGTTATGCCTGTCTGTACACCCATTTGGTTGGCCATACTGTAAAAGATGTTTAACCCATGATCTTGTTGCCAGTGTTCACTGGAGTCTTATGAACTGGCAGCCATTCACAGCGTGTGTGATATCATGGGCTTCTGTTGCTCAGAACTTGTTGAAAACAAGGCTGAAATTACATGCAGCTATTGGGAACTTCCAGAGAGTCCTCTTTGGTAACACAGTACATTTAATATATCATAGCACACATACATTTAACATACGTTCACAATAGTTCCTGTTCTAAGGGTGCTTTAAGTGAAACTCCACATAAAGGGTAGAGTGGGGAAAGGTTAGAAACTCTGTCAGGTTCTTATTGATGCCATTGTACTTATTGGTGACTGTTTGCATTTCATGTTGTGTCTTCCTGTGACAACTGTCACTTCATGTTGTGTCTCCTTGATGGGAAGAGGCATCATAAAGTGGCACATGTCACCTGAATAGTATCCATTGGAAGATATCTCTTGACCTCCAATTCTTGTGACAGCTGTAATAATTTAACGTTTCCTTGTATTAAGTACAGAAAGTGAGAGTAAACAGCAATAATAACCCTAACACTTCCACCCTATACCCAAATCTTAATGTGTTGACTGGAGTCCCACTTTAAATTTTTTTTTTTTTTAAACAAACTTTATTCTGTTTTCTCGGCCCTACCCCAAGGGGCTCGGCCTTTTTTTCCACAGCATAAAATTTACACAGTATGAGGCTACTTACAGTAAACCCAACAATTTTACCAGAAATATCAAACTTAAACATTCCAACATTCCCATTATTCCTAAGCTGGTTGCCACTCTTACTTTAGTTATTGTATGCTATTAGAACATGCCAGTTACTACTCTTTTTTTTTTTTTACACTACGCTATTGTCTAGTCGTAGACTATCACTAAAGCCTCAGTTCGCGTCAGGGCACTTCCAGGACACTTTAAATTTTTGTTTGTTGCTGTTATGATTTCATATCTTGCACAAAATCTTTATAATGCAGAGATGTGTTCAATGGTGAAATGAAAGGCATTTAGGAAAAGGCAAAGTATTGAGTTTGAAGATGTCTTGTAAACGTCTGATCAGGCATTGTATCTCTTATTAATTCTTCCTCCAGAGTCTGAAGTTGCAGATAATCCAGAGTATATTACATTTTTGTATCAGACAACCAGAGGAATCGCTGCTAGGAGTTATGGATTGAATGTAGCTAAACTGGCAGACGTCCCAGAGGAAGTTTTAAAGAAAGCAGCTCGTAAATCAAAAGAGCTGGAGGGTTTAGTGGAGATGAAAAGGTGAGTACATCAACAGCATACTTCATTCTACAGGCCTTTATGTCATTCTTTCAGCAGAGTCACATTGTATTCACGCCAAAGGAATCAATATCTATTCTGTATCAGTAAATCAGCTTATGTGTAAGCAAACATTTTTGTAAAATACTGTATTTTATTATACAGTATTATTATTGTCCTTTTTATTCATCATTTATGGGAACTTCAGGGGCAGATGGATCATTTAAAGGACGCTAATCTAATTATATTTCTTTGGTCGTGATTCACATCAAATTGCAATAGAAAAAGGAGTTCTCAAGCTCCTCACATGTGACATTGTTTGAGAGGCCACTTTAACATACTGTAAGTACTATTAAGGTTTGAAGAGTTAAGCCCTTTATCTTGTATTGAGGCTTGTGTTCACCTTCATATTCCCATTCTCTGCTTTCTCACAAGTGGTGTTAAGCAAATCCATGCACCCATTTGTAATTTTAAAAAGACTCTGTAATGGGTGAAAAAAAAGCCAAGCCTGCTGCATGTATAAGGCGCAGGCACCTCGAGGTTCCTGTGCATAACTGCAACAGCCTAGTAAACCTTCCTTTCACGGGTCAATGCATGGGGCTGCTCTGACAGCAAAACACCAACACTTCAGGGTTTTGTCAGAACTTGTTGCTAAGCCCTCCCTCCCCAAACATTCCTTTTGCGCTATACTATGATGGACAGCCCCACTAGCCAGTAGTAATGTGCATAAGGCAAGAAAGGACTGGCCAGCTGTGTACAATTAAAATCAGGAAGTACAATATTTACACAGGAAAGAGATTTGCAAACATTTGGAGATGCCAGTATTCGCCAACATTTATTTTTAATATTAAATATTAATATTCAGTTTATAATTAAGAGATGAACCCCCTAGTACTCTAAGCAAGCACAGGGATAGCATGGGTGAAGCAAGAGGAGCTCTGTGAACATTTTACTTTTCTAATAAAGTGGTGACTGGGGGAAATTTTATTTCCTAAAACATTTTTGTTTAGCTTTTTGTATGTATTGTCTAGCATCACTATTGATCAGGTGAATGGGGTAAAGTCCACAAAATCCCCCACCACCACCTATGCAATCCTACCTTACCTCGAAGGGCATAAATAGTATTCCTTCTCTTAATAGTACTTAATAAAAATGACGCTTTCTCATGCAGAAAATTAAATCCACCCCTACAATTACCACCACTTCAAATCCAAATTAGGTGGAAATGATTAGAGCTTTCCTAAGAAGTATGTGGGGGAAACCTGTGTTATTTAAATTTTAGACATCTAGGGCACTGGTGCCCAACACGTAGGCCACATGTGATCCACCAGCCTTGTGTCTGCAACTTGCTGGTTCCTTTCCTAGGAACACCATCTGTTAGGCACTAGTTGGTGCTATCTACATTTGATCACCAGGCACTGAAACAAATCTGGTGCAGTCAGGTTGAGTGATCTCTGCCCAACAGTATAAGTTTAGTACCAGCCGGATGGGGAGGAAAGAGAGTGGGGGAGGAGAGTGTGATCAGGTAAGCATCTAAAAACACGGCCACTGACCACCATTTGGGCAGGTTATAAAATACTGCTACTGACCACTAATGAAATAGTTAAATAATATCACTGCACCAGTGTGGGGGGGGGACAGGGATTACATAAAACTGACACTAACCAGTCAACAATTTCCAGTGTATGAACAGTAAACTCCTCATTATCCAGCATTCAAGCAACGGGCACTCTCAAGCAACTAGCACAAAAAAACAAGGACATATTATGTCCTTGTTTGTTTGTTTTTTTGCCAGTGACTTGATGCACATTAAAAAAAATTGCCAGTTGCTTGGTGCACAGTACATTTATTTAGTTGCTAACATAATTTTTTTTTTTTTTTTTTTACATCTTGCTGCCAGCCAGCGGCTAGATTCTGCGGTCGGCAGCAGAATGTAAACAATGGGGAGAAATAGCCAGCCTGCTATTGGCTCTTGCAAATTGCAATAGCCAATAGCAGGCTGGGTACTGTGCCCACCCACTGAGCAGAGGAGCAGACCTGAGAGAGAACTTTCTTTCTCAGGTCGGCTCCTCTGCTCAGTGGGCGGGGTTTCAATAGCCAGCCTGCTATTAGCAATTTAAAATTGCAATAACAGGCTGGCTATTGCTCCTGGCTGCTTACATTCACCAGTCGGCTGCGGAAGCTAGCCGGCAGCTGAATGTGGCTGTCGGGACTTGGTAGAGCCTGCTGAAAGGGCCACTCACAGGGTAGTCCTTCGGTGGCTGTGTAAGGGGGGGGGAGGAAGTTCATACAGAGTATGCTCATCCCTCTATTATAAACTCTTAAGCAAGCCGAAACTACATGCCGATCCCCATGGGTGCCAGATAACTGGGAGTGTGTGTATGTATATATATATATATATGTATATGTATGTATTTATATATATATATATGTGTATATACACTGAGTGGCAAGATTATTATGACCACCCCATCAGTACTTCGTTGGGCCACCTTTTGCCTTCAATACTGCGGCGATTCTTCTTGGCATTGACTCCACGAGATGTTGAAAGGTGATGCGAGGAATCTGACACCATGCCTGATGAATAGCACTGTCCAGTTCTGTGAGATTTGATGGTTGTGGAATCAGCTGCCTGATGGCTCTTTCAACTTCGTCCCACAAATGCTCAATTGGATTGAGATCTGGTGATTGTGGGGGCCACCTAAGCAAGGTAAAGTCTCCCTCACGTTCTTGAAAATACTCCTGCACAATACGAACACCATGGCATAGCGCATTGTCTTGTTGGAAGAAGCCATCTCCATTGGGATACGCCATCAACATGATAGGATGAACTTGATCAGCAACGATACTTTGGTATGTTGTGCTATTCAGATGTTGTTCCACACGAATTGAAGGGCCCAAATCATGCCAGGAAAACATGCCCCAAACCATAACACTGCCCCCACCAGCTTGAAGGGTTGTACTCATGCATGTGTGGTGCATGCTTTCATGCTCTTCCCGCCAAATTCTCACTCTGCCATCTGCATGACGCAACTGGAAACGTGATTCATTGGACCACATTACTTTTTTCCAATGCTCACCTGTCCCATCCTTGTGTTCCTGTGCGAATTGGAGACGTTTTATCTTGTTAACTGCAGACAGCAAAGGTGTTCGAACAGGCCTTCGGCTTCCATATCCCATACGATGCAGTGTACTGCGAACAGTGCGTTCAGAGATCATTTGAGAGGATCCCTGATTAAGATCTTCAGTAATTTGATGCACTGTTGCCCTTCTGTTGTTTTGTACCAGTCTTGCCACTCTCCGTTCTGCCCTAACATTGACTAGTCCCTGACGGCCACAATTCGCACGTTCAGACCCAGATTTTTGGCTGACAGTCCAGTCTTTAAACACTTTAACAATGAGCCCCTCTTGAACATTTAACGAATTCTGCTGTTTTGCTGATACTCGCTCCATGGCTCGCGCCAACAATCATCCCAAAGGCTGTTAAATCGGTTTGTTTACCCATATCTTCAGAAAAAAATCACTTCTACTGTTGTGGTAAACAACCTGCTTCCCTATTTATAATGGTCTGGCCCTCTAGCAACTTCAGCTCAAAATTATAGCTAATTAGCTTACAAACGTCAGGTGGTCATAATAATCTGGCCACTCAGTGTATATGTATATATATATATATATATGTGTGTATATATATATATGTGTGTGTGTGTGTGTGTGTATATACAGTATATATAATGTGTGTGTGTATTTATATTGTTGCCCCAGACCTTTAATTAGCAGATTTTGTTTGTTAATCTGAGTACAAAAATAAAGGAAAAGTTAAAAGTAATATTATATAATTGTTTTGTTCTTATATAGGTCGATGTTACACTTTACAGCTGATGAGCTGCTTTGATGGACTTGCTCTTAATTTCCACGACATGTAGCAATCTAACATGGAATCAGAGGAGACTGAAATGATTCCCTCACTAAATGAGGTCCTCTGGTTGCAGCTTCACTTGGTACTCGTGCTTCATTAGAATTTGTCCTAATATTAAAGATTGAAGCTATTCTCCCAGCTTCTTTTGATCCCTCTATGCATCAATACAATAGCGGTCATACTTTCTTAATGAGCCACTTCAGGACAATTGCTTGCTTACCCCTTATGGACCAGAGCAATTTAACATTTCAGCTCTGTGCCCGTAATTAATTATGAAATCAAAGAGATGCATATACTTTTTTTTTTGTTATTTTTGAGAAAAACAAGGTATTAATTTCTTAGATTTATTTTATAACAGCAAAAAAATCTATGTAAAAGGGGTTTTGAAATACAATCTTTTTTTTGTTGTTTATGTTTTTAAAGCTGCTGATAGTATGAGATCGCCTTTGGCATAATTTGATAAGTAATCAATGCAGTTATGGTACATCAGCTTCTGGCATCAAGACATCAGCACTGCTAGTTTTCATGGCAGAGAATTATGTAGTAGTTGAAGGTCTCCCTCATATTGACCCTTCCTGTGAGCACAATACTTAACTTGTATGTGAAGTATGTGCAGTAAACCTAACCCCTTGCTTACATGCTCATCTCTTTTGGGCTGGCATCCTTTGCACAGAAGAATAATTTTCTGTCTGTTGCAGTTGGTTGTTGCATTGATCATTCCAGTAGGAGCTCTTTCATTGGTTCCTTCTTACATAGTGAGACTTGAGACGTGGGCTGGTCCCAATGAAGGTGGAAAGTCAGTAACTCGAATAAACATCCTAGAGTAGTTAATAGTAGTCATAAAAGTAGTCATACCTCAATGATCCAGTCATGATACCAGATTTTACCTGTGTGAATGGAATGATGGAGTTTTTCACTCTGGGACATATTGTTTCTTGTATGATTGCCTTCAGCTGGTAAAGGTTCCAAACTCTAAACACCTATCCTATATATTTAATCCAGGTCAGTGATTTGTAGAATGACCAGGATAAGGATGGCAGCTCAAGAACCTACACTTTTAAAAACAAGTCAGCAGAGGTAGTTCTCATATTTATGTCATCAAAGGTTTCCTTGAAAAGTTGCTTTTGGGTTCAAGCAAATGTGAATTGCTACATCCACGCTGAACATGGATAGGCAGATAAAGGATCAATCGAAGAAGACCATAGAATTTGATATTTACTTGTTTTTAGAAGCAACCCTCTTCTTTTTGGGGATCTTGAAATAATGCATTTTAAACCCTCCTGTATGTTGTGTTTTGTCAGAAAGAAGATGAAGACTTTTCAAACAGCCTGGAAGATTCAGAGTTCTCAGGATTTACAGGAATTATTAAATGCAGAGTGCTTTAACTAAATATACCTTGCACCAAGAAGAACAGGCCAACCTCATGGTGTCATTGGAGTAAAGGAACGGTCATTGTACTCAGCAGATGCTGAAATCCATGTTTCATTGGTCTGTTGAATACAGATGGAATTCTCACTTCCGTGATACATAGAGCTTTCTAGCTAATAAAACACTGTTTTCAGACATAGCAAATGATGAGTAACTACCTACACGGTAGTGTGGCCAAAGTGTGGGGAACCTTATATAACTTAAAGCATAATTAAACCAAAAAGACAAAAATGTAATATATTGCAGCAAGTAGAGAAAACTGCTGTTGACCTTGCCAGAAATGCCGTGCCCTTGTCACTTCCTGTAAGCTGCTATAAGGACAAAAAAAAAGCCTCATCTAATGGAGAAAAGGAAAGGCAGACATTTTAGTAGTCCAGCCTGGGTGACAACCACACATATGTCCAAAGATACACCCACCCAGGGACAGGAAGTGTGCTATTTGCAGTACTTCATTCTACTTCTACTAATAAAAAAAAACAGGTGAAAATAATGGAAAAAAAGCCTGAAACGATGAATGCAGCCACCACATCTAAGGGCTGGTAAGATGCAATATATTACATTTTTGTTCTTGGTTTTCGATTTCCTTTAAATTTAAACTTTGTATATATATAAAAATATATGTCTGCTTTTATCTTCTTTTCCTTAAATATTATTTTTTGCATAAACACAACATCAACATTGTACACATCAAGGTGTAAGACGTAAATCAGGGCGCTTGACTGGTATTAAAGGACAAAGCTATACCAGTTATAGGTGAGCTCCAATGGGATACATTTCAAGATGGATTCTCATACAGCGCTGAGCCTCCACCCACTCTGACAAAGATTTGAATTGCTGAGAAAATAATTCAGCAGTTGCCCTGCTGTGTCATGCAATATATGTTGTCAGCAACCTCCTTCTTTCAAATCTCGGGCTGGACACTGCTGCCTGCGTGTCTAAAGTCTTACACGAAATGTGTAGATTGAACCCTCTCTCTTCTAACCTCTTGTTGTGTGCCCGGATTCTCAATACAGTTTTCGGATTAAACAGTTTGTTCCCAATATTGTGATCTCCATAGATGATTTTGAAGGCTGCTTTAAAGTGAGCATTGTTCTACATCCGGACTTTGTATAATGCACATTGCTCCTCAACCACCTTCACAGTCTTCACGTCTATTCCAGGTCAGCCATGGGTCTAAAATGGTAACCACGGTAGCCCCTTTATTTGTCTTGGTACAGGTGCACTTGAATAGGAGAGTGTGTTCAACTCTTGACGTTTCCTGTGATGAGCAGTGTGTACTGGCAGCCGAGTTCACACAGAGAACAATGATCTCCTGCGGGTAAGGATTTGTCCAGGAGCTCTGAAAACACACAGGCAGCTCTGTCCTCGGTTTTGAAGAGAGTAAGCACAAGACCTCATTGCCATGCCTTTTTATTTTAGAATTTAGCTCATTTAGTTTCAATCCAAATTTTACCTGGAGGAAAGAATCAATTGCTATGAGCAGTAAGTGCAGATCCCTAATGCTAAGTGGCAGCCAGGTCCTGATGCTGCTAACTATAAGAAATCTTGCTGCATAGCACCTGCACTTAACACCATATGCATTTCACTGACACAGCCTTTTCTCTGTGTAATTACATTTCCAGGAAAGACAAATTACCACGCGCTTCCCAGCTACACACGCTGCGCTGACTAATTCAGCAAATGCCTGATACAGAGCATGAAGCAGCGCATTTGCTTACAGTGAGCTTTGCAATTTGTGTCACTCAGCAGTTTAAAGGGAAATTATTTTCTGTAAGCATATGACTAATGCATACTGATTTATGTCTTCTCACATATAGAAAACATGTTTTCTTTTTGTGGGAAATACAACAGTTGTGTAATTTGGATCCCTGGGAAGCACAGAGTGCGGTTAAACGTAACAAGACTGTATCTATCTGTAGCTTTTCTTTTATAGGACATTTCACCTGTGTAATACAGGCAATGGGTTATGTTATTGATGGGTCCTGGCTGTATATATGCATTGCCTAACCAGAATAGTTTTTTAGTCTTTTCCATGCGATTTGTACTTCGCAGTACTGTGTTTTGTTGTCAGGTTGTCATCCGGCTTTGAGAGTTGAATTTTTAATACACATTAGAGAGCTACACTTTGAATTAAAACAGTTTTTTTAAATAAATAGCTGTTACATCCTATATAAACGTTTACCTCATTTATTATCAATGGGAGAGCAACAAATTTGCAAACCCCATGCCCTCACAAACACTTTTAGTGAATTTTAATAATTGATGAAAAATAAAAAAATTTCCACAGCACCTAAGAGAGAATGTTAATGCATTTACATCAGTTTCTACCCACTATAATCAAGTCCAAATACATATGGCTTTTATGTATAGGAGCATTTGGCGTATCTACAGTATGTGTTGTTGGATTGTGGGGGGATTTGGAATAACGTGTGGGGGGTATTAGGCTACAATGTGTTTGCAGACTGAATATTTGCTACATCCATGCCCCAAATATTCAACGAACATAATTTACCGATATTCCATACTAAACCTGCCCACCCCTTTCCTGTAAAAAAATAATGAGCTGCATACCCCCTCAAGTTAGAATACCAACTCTCTGGCCAGTGCTTCAAGCCACCTCTGCTGGAACACTGGAAATATCTAAACTGTGTACAGATAGCGACAGTCATGTGGCCACTTTTCCATCATGCTGCCCAGCATCTCCATGCAAAATCACAGCAAGAAATGAATTTTAACTGGATCATAAATATCTGACAGCAGGCCAAGCCAATGGGTAGGCAGAAGAGGTGGCCATGTTGGGTGCTTTAGCAGAAAGGGGTGCAAAAAGGGCTGTACCCACAACCTTTTTCTTTTTACTGAAATTGTTTACAGCCCATGGGTGGGGGGGCCTCATGTTGGCTTTTACATCTTGGGTGATAAAGGACCTTGTCCAGGCACTACCTGGCAGATTGACACAGGGGTATATATACACAAACACACACACTGCTTGCAGACACTGTAAGTGAAATTTTTTCCTTCCTGTGTAATACAAATGTTTATAGAACCCTGCAAATGATAGTGTGCTGTCCTGGTCCTGCTTCAAATTTAGAGCATCTCCAACAGATGTTTGTGTCTCTGTACATTCACATACACTGCCTACGTGTTTTATGATAGTTTCAAATTTTCAGAGTACATTACAGAGTGTATGTGCCAATACTGTAATTCAATTGGTTGTCCTGCATTGGCCATATAGAACAGAACTTGAACCTATCTAAAAGCAGGATATTGCTATTAAATATTACTAGAGATGATTGGTTAACACTTCTACTCTCTTGCAATAGATTTAATTGCAAATAATATGCAAACACAGAACCCAGGGGGGGAAGCAACAAAGTTTGTACTCGTTGAATTTACATACCTGTGGATGTTTGACTCAGGAAAACAAAAGTTTGCAGTTATTTGTGGATCACATTTTTTGACCTGCCTGAAGCAGTATATACATGAAACGGTCTGCATGTATTAGGATATTCTACATTTGTAGTTATGAGCATATATGTCCCAGATTTTTAGGTGTGTCCGGGTACAAACCTACATTTAGGTTTGGTTGAGGTCCAGTCTGGAGGGTGCTCCTTTCTTGGCAAGATCCAATTTTGGTGTGTGCTCTTTTGTTGGTGAGATCCAGCTTAGTAGGTGCTCCTTTTCTTGGTGAGATCCACTTTCATGGGGTTTTTTTTCTTGGTGAGATCCAGTTTGGTGGGTGCTCGCTTCTTGGTGACATCCAGTTTGGCGCATGCTCTTTTCTTGGTGAGATCCAGTTTGGTGGATGCTCTTTTCTTGGTGAGATCCAGTTTGGTGGATGCTCTTTTCTTGGTGAGATCCAGTTTGGTGGATGCTCTTTTCTTGGTGAGATCCAGTTTGGTGGGTGCTCTTTTCTCAGTGAGATCCAGTTTGGTGGGTGCTCTTTTCTTGGTAAAATCCAGTTTGGTGGGTGCTCTTTTCTTGGTGAGATCCAGTTTGGTGGATGCTCTTTTCTTGTGTGTGGGTGGGTGGGGGGATTTCACAATCAGATCTAGATTTGTGAGTGCTTTTTTTTTTGATGGTGTGGCCACAGTCTATAAAACTTAGTGCATCATGTACTTCTATTCTCTAGCGACATATTTTATGTAGAACTATACACAAAAGTAGTATTTCATTTTTTTGAGGTTTCTGCCAAGCCTAAAAACATGCTGGATTTGACCTCTTTGAGACTCAGGGAAGGATGACACCATCAATTAGTTGTAGGTATTACAAAGTCAAATGATGGCATTATTCTTCTATCTGGAGATTTATTTTAGTATTTTTGAAGAGCTAATAAATAATTGAAAAGTCTAGCTGCAAGTGATCGCAAATACACAAACCTATGCAAGGAAATCATTTCATTAGTCTGCACCCATGTCTAGGTGGAAAGCTGGCAGCAATGATGACTTTACACTATCAGTGCTACAGTACAACAGATACATGAACTTTGGGAGTTTACCTATGGAGGTATAATTACTATAAAAGGTTCATACAGCTCAAGATACATTAGCCTTATAAAAGATATATAGATGTTAGATTATAAGCAGTATGACACACTGGTTGTTTTAAAAAGAGCTGGCCATGTTAAAGAGGACATTGAATTCTATCCAGCAGGCAGGATCCTGGGAGAAAGATTTTTTGGAAAAAGACTAACCAACTTGCCCAGAGCAAGATGGCTGGATGAAATCCATGAGGATACTGAGAAGATAGGAATTAATAGATAGTGTATTAAAGCCAATGACAAAGAAGAACGGAGGACACTCTTAAAGGGCAGATATTTAAATTCTAACATACAGTGACTGTCAAAGAAAGAATGAATCCTGTTAAAGAGAGCAGTTGTGAATGTTAATTAAACATTTTAGTTCATGCAAAAGCAGATGCTTGAGATAGCATTAAACTCTAAAACTTCAAAACTATTTCAATAATTAATGCAGATCAAACAAATATACATTGCCCAGCACAGTAC